TGGGACTGCAAATGGACAGGCTGCGGACACTCTAAGGGAGGAGCAGGACCCGTAGAGGGAGGGAGACAAAGAACCTGCTCTAGGAGGGGAACGAAGTATGGCCTCGGCCGCGCAGCGCCTCCAGAACTGGCAAGGACGGCACCAGGACCCCTAGTGGCAGCACCAGCGCCAGCTAAACCTCCAGCTCCAACAGCGCCAACTCCAGGACCCTCAGAAGCGCCAGCGCTAGCAGCACCGCCAGCGCCAACACCCCCAGCAGCTCCAAATCCAGTAGAAACGTCAGCACCAGCTGCCTCAGCAGCACCCCCAGACGCACCAGCACCAGTAGAAACACCAGCGCCAACACCCCTAGCAGCTCCACCTCCAGCACCACCAGCACCAACAGCAGCTCTAGTAGGATCAACTCCAGTAGCTCCTGCAACACCCCCAAACTCAGCAGCACGTCTCCAGCGGCGGGCGAACCACTCGCGCAGCTCCTGCGGAGAGAGCGGCTCGCGCCTCGACGAAGCACCGCCGGCGGCCACACGAGCAGGCCCAGCACCCCCAGGCTCAGCACCCCCAGGCTCAGCACCCCCAGGCTCAGCACCCCCAGTCTCAGCACCCCCAAACTTAGCACCCCCAGGCTCAGCATCCCCAGTCTCAGCACCCCCAGACGCGGCACCCGCTGACCCGGCACCCGCAGGCTCAGCACCTCTAGCAGCACCAAAGTCAACAGCTACCTCGACAGGCTCGACTGCGTCTACCTGGGACACACCTGAAGGGGCAGGACCCTGAGGAGGGAGGGGGTCTACCTGGGTAGCACCTGGCGCAAGGAAGAGCGGCGGCGGGGGGAGGGGCGCAGTGCGGTAGGGGAAGAGACGGTAGTAAGGCACCGACTCGTCAAAGGTGACGTCCTGGGAGGACAGAACACGGCACGAGGTGGGGTGGTATAACCGCCAGCCAGGCGCGTCGGGGGGGGAAGCCAAGGAAGACGTAGGGAAAAGGACCGGGGGACAGCTTGTCCAGAGACAAGTCGCGGACAAACGCCCGAGATCCCCAGACCCGAAACGCAGACGCATCACCAACCTTCCTGGTCCATCGCAAGGCGGGGGAGGTTTCTGGCAAGGAGACCCGGGGCTGCAGGTTGAGCTGATGCGCGGTGTACTGAAGCACAAACGGCCACAGAAAATGGGGGGCAGTCGCATGCATCATGGACGTACGAGCGACGTCCATGACCATGCCAATGCGGCGCTCAGCAAGCCCATTTTGCTGTGGAGAGGCCAGAAGCGTGAAGGTCTGGCGGATGCCCTGTGCACGACAGAAGGCTCCTAGACGGGCAGAGGAAATCTCCCCGCCTCTGTCCGAGTGCAGTTCGAGAACAGGAAAGTCCGAGCCGAAACTCTCTCTGAGCTAGAGACGAGCTGCACGGATCCAGTCGATCAACACCTCAGTGACGTCACCCTTGTTGCGTAAGGGGAAGAATGTGCTGTAACGCGAGTAGTCGTCAACCACCAGCAGAAAGTACCGCTCTCGTCCCTGCCCACTGACGCGGGCTGGGCCCCACACGTCCATGTGGAGAGTCTGCAGCGGAGCCTCTGTCGGAGGAATCTCGGAGGAGTGAGGGGCGGCGCGCTGTCGCCCCTCGACGCAAGGGACGCAGGTAGGGCCACGTCCCGGAGGAAGGGGAGGGAGAGACCGAGGAAGACCAGAGACAAGGACACGGGAGGCCATGCCTCTGAGACGAGGCAAGGAGGGGTGACCAAGGCGGTGGTGCCAAAGTAGAGTCTGGTGTGACAGCAGACGACACAAGCAGGGGGCAGACTCAGGACCAGACGTGGATGCCGCAGCAAACACCTGACTCGACGCAGCTACCCGGGCAGACTCAGCAGCAGGAGGAGACGCAGTAGTCAAGGTGTACAGGCTCGACCCTGGCCGACGGGTGAACGTGGCCAGGTGTCGACCTGTCCGAGCACACGTGCAGTGGGTCACTCGCTGACTCGCAGGAGTGAACTAGTCAACCCCTCGATCCTGTAGGTCCGCTCCACTCACCAAGTTCATAGAGAACGAGGGGAGGTACAGACCAGACAGGGTGCCAGAGGGGGCTGCAGGGCACGGAAGGACAGTGGAGAAGCTAGCAAGGACAGGGCCCCCAGAGGGGTCTGCCAGGGAGACTGCAACCGGCCGACTAAGCGGCGTAAGAGTGGTGCGGTCTCGAAAGAAGGAGCGGGACGCACTCGAGTCCAGAGTGAAGGTGTGGAGGGCCTGAGCTGAAGCAGTACCTGAGAGAGCAGACTCACCAGCACCTGGGGCTGCAGACGCACTAGTACCAAGAGCAGCAGTCTCACCAGCATCTAGCGCAGCAGCCTCAATGCCCGGGTCATGCGGTACACACAGGTAACAGGCACCCTCAACACTATCAGCAACAGCATACATGGCAGCAAGAATAGCATCAAAGTCAAGATCAAAGATAGCAACCCCGGCCTTGGACAGATCTCCCCAGCGAGGGATCTATGACGCCTTAGGGAACTGGCGACGCCACGCGTCCGTCAGGCGACCAAAGCAGCGCTGGGTGGAGTGCGGACCTCCGCACTGCTCATCAGTGTGGTCGGCGGTACGGAGAACGTAGGAGTAGGGACCAAAACCCCCACCTCGCTGGCGTGCAGTGTACCACTCACGAAGCTGCTGAGGGGACATGGTGACACCACTCCGCTGCTGCTGCTGGCGCTGACCACCACCGGAGCCACTCCTCGGTGCAGAGTAGCGACTCGCACCACCACCGCCGCCGCCGCCTCCGCCGCCGCCTCCGCCGCCACCGCCGCCTCCGCCGCCTCCTCCACCTCCGCCTCCTCCACTACCTCCGCCGCCTCCGCTCCCTCCGCCACCTCCACCGCCTCCGCCGCCTCCACTGCCGCCGCCGCCGCCACCACCCCCGGCACCACTCCCACCACCACCCCCACTCCCTCCAACGCCTCCACCACCACCTCCACCGCCCCCTCCACCCCCTCCAGAGCCCTTGCTCCCCTTGCCCTTGCTGTTGCGGCGTCTCCCACTTGGGGCAGACGCAGCGCCGACCGACTCGAAACCAACGAGGCCGGCCGCAGCAGCAGAGGCAACAGAGGGCAAGAGGGGGGAGGGAGAACACCCCTCAAAGACGGGGGTGCGAGGGTTACCACGAGAGGCTTCTACAGCGACTATGCTCTTCTCGATCGCTAGGAGGGCCTTCTCGAGGAGGTCAACGGTTAAAGTGGTGGGGCAAACAGAGAGGAAGTGGTCCCTGACTACGCGGAGAGAGTCAGGGAGCCGGGTGACTATGTAGTAGAGGGTGATGTACATGGGGGGGGGGATTCTTGGCGCAGAACTGAGCAGGAAGCGTAACGCGGTAGCGAGTGTCAAGAGTGCGGAGGTGCGTAATGAGGTCAGCGATTGTGGGAAAGGTAGCAAGGTCAGGGAAGAGGAATGGTAGTATGAGGCGGCTCAGTGCAGTAGTGGCAGGGGAAGAGTAGCGTGCAACTACAGCGTCGTACAAGGTCTGAGCATTCTTGTACTGGCTAAAGTGCGCACGCTCAGTGGTCGGTAAGTGGCAGCGAACAGCAAGGCGAGCAGCAGCATCACGTGTGGCCCACTGTGAGCGAACAGTGGCGTCAGCATCAGCACCAGGGGTCAGGGAGGCACCAGAAGTGAGGTCAAACAGGGAGAGGCCTTCTGCCCTATCGCACTGCAGAAAAAGCTGCAGATCATCTACCCAGACCTCAAAGTCCACAGCCCGACCCTCAGCGTCAAAGGTGAGAACGCTAGGGGAAGCCATAACAGTAGTAGGCAAGCAGGGAGTGCAGTGAGGTAGGGCAGTGCAGTGGCAGAGACTGGGCTCTTACCAGGCAGTTGGGGCGATCGGGATGCTCGGCGGCTCGGCTGCAGGGCGGCTCGGTTGCACGGTGCTGGGCGGCTCAGCTGCTGGGCGGCTCGGCTGCACGGTGCTGGGCGGCTCGGCTGTCGGGCGGCTCGGCTGTCGGGAGGCTCGGCTACCTGGCGGCTCGGTTGTCGTGCGGCTTGGCTGCTGGGCGGCTCGGCTGCCTAGCGGCTCGGTTGTCGGGCGAATCGGCCGCGGTGGCGACGGGACGGGGCCGTAGCAAGGGCCTTAGTGGGGCCGCAGTGGGGCCGAAGTGGGGCCGAAGTGGGGCCGACGGGGCCTTAGCGGGGCCGTAGCGGGGCCGACGGGGCCGTAGCGGGGCCGCAACAGGGCCTAAGAGGGGCCGACGGGGCCGAAGTGGGGCCGTAGCGGGGCCAATAGGGCCGAAGGGGCCATAGTGGGGCCGAAGTGGGGCCGACGGGGCCGTAGCTGGGGCCGTAGCGGGGCCGACAGGGCCGTAGCGGGGCCGCAACAGGGCCGAAGTGGGGCCGACGGGGCCGCAACAGGGCCGAAGTGGGGCCGACGGGGCCTAAGCGGAGCTGTAGCGGGGCCGACAGGGCCTAAGCGGGGCCGACGGTGGGCTAAGCGAGGCCGACGGGGCCGAAGTGGGGGGCGAAGGGGGCCTAAGCGGGGCCGCAACGAGGCCGTAGCGAGGCCTAAGCGGGGCCGACGGGGCCTAAGCGGGGCCAAAGCGGGGCCAACGGGGCCGAAACGGGGCCGACGGTCGGCGGCTCGAGGAGCAGTAAGGGCGGCCAAAGGGGGCCACTTAGGCGACTCGGGGTGCTACTCGTGGTAGGAGCGAAACGCGCTCCGGGCAGGGAAGGAAAAAAAAAGTTCGTGGTGGGCCCTAGGCAGCATTCCCACTCGGGAACCTACTCGATACCATGACGAGAAATGAGAATGGATGAATGAACTATGAAAGAGTTGGGTACAAGTACTAACCCTAATTGGGTTGTACCCCATATGGGCTACCCCACTACAGCCTACACAAATGTATAAACTATAATGTTCTGACACATATATGTCTTATATCCGGGCTATGACGCTACCAACCACCCAGCAAAGCGAGGCAGAGGAGGAGAAAAAGGAGACACCATCCTCAGAAGTTCATTCCTTATCTCGAACCCCTGGTATCGTCCCCATACACCCTCTCCCCTCCCCCACCCCTCAACCTGCCCGCTTCCCAGCTCTCCGATCCCCGCTCTCCCCCACACGCTGCCCCATTCATGCTCAGAGGTTCATTCCCCATCTCAAACCCCTGGTATCATCCCCATAGACCCTCGCATCTCCAAACACCCTCTCCCCTCCCCCACCCCTCCACCTGCCCCCTCCCCCACCCGCAGCTCCCCCCTCCCCTCCACGCACTGCCCCTGCATTATCCTGTGTACCGAAGAGGCTTGTAAAGGGGATGGAGCGGGCGGGGCCGGCAGGGAGGACAGAGGCTGCTGCAAGGACAGCGTGGCGGTAGATGAGGGAGAGGTAGAAGGCGAGGCAGAGGAGGAGGAGCAAGTCGTCTAAGAGACCCACGATCCCCATGGCAACTGAAAGGGGGACAGGGAAGAAGTAGGACAGACACATGAATGAGAAAGGGCACGGTGGTGGATGAGGAAGAGATACAAGGCGAGGCAGAGGAGTCGTCTAGTAAACCGACAAGTCCCTGGCGACTGGAATGACAACACGTAGGGCAGGTAGGGGAGCAGGGAGGAGAAGGGGCGGGCACACATGGGTGAGAAAAAGCACAGCGTGGCAGAGGAGGAGGAGCAGGTCGTCTAAGAGACCCACGATTCCCATGGCGACTGGAAGGGAGAAATAATAAGGGGACACAAAGCACAGCCATATGGGTGAGAAAGAGCACAGCGTGGCGGTAGATGAGGGAGAGGTAGAAGGCGAGGCAGAGGAGGAGGAGCAGGTCGTCTAAGAGACCCACGATTCCCATGGCGACTGGAGGAAAAGAGGGAGCAGAGGGAGAACAAGGAGGAGAGAAGGCACGGGAAAGGGCAGACACACAGGTGAGAAGGGTGGCAGTAGATAAGGCAGAGGAGGAGGAGCAAGTCGTCTAAGAGACCCACGATCCCCATGGCGACTGGAAGGACGAGAGAACAAGGGGAGACAAAGCACAGGCGTATGGGTGAGAAAGAGCACAGCGTGGCGGTAGATGAGGGAGAGGTGGAAGGCGAGGCAGATGAGGAGGAGGAGCAGATCGTCTGACTGAAATGAGGAGCAGGGGGGGCAGGAAAATTAACGAAACAGATTTCTATCCCTTGCTTTTTCCCCCTTCCTTTTGATTTATGTTAATGAAAAGGGGACATGCAATGAATGCACGGCATCACTTACATTCTGGTATGAGGTCAAATGGTGACAGAACATACACGAAAACAATAGCCACCTGCAGATGTGATTATAACGGGGATATGGGGGAAATCAGTTATGAACACTGAAAATGGTGGCTTTTATGGAAGGGTTGAGCACACATTGCAATTACCGTGGGGGGTGAGATGTCATGAGATGTAATAAAAGAAATGAAGCGACATAAACGAGCACAGCGGCCACCTGCGTTAGAAGAGCATCATGTATGATACGAGAGCGAAATCAGTTGGAAACGGAGAAAGCCTGTGCGAACTTTGAACGTAAAAGGTCCAGAGGAAGAATGCACTCACACAGAACACCATTCGAGCGTTGTGTAGCAAGCGGAGGGCCCTCAGTGGATCGGAGAGGTCTAGCAAGGCATGCTTGCACAGATTGACTCGCAACCACAGACGGACACACATCCTAGCCCCGTTCTACTCACACAGAACACCATTCGCGCGTTGTGTAGCAAGAGGAGGGCCCTCAGCGGGTCAGTCAGGTCCCGAACGAGTCGAGAGAGGAGCAGAGGCATGTCCAGGATGCGCTGCAGTGGTGACGAGGGGTGGGAAGTGGTGGGGGGAGGTAGGGAGAGGTGGAGAGAGGTGGAGAGAGGTGGACGGAGGGAGTTAAAAACAGCCAAGTGGAGAGCTCTTAGCGGGTCGGTCAGGTCGCGAACGAGTCGAAAGAGGAGCAGAGGCATGCCCAGGATGCGCTGGTGGGTGGTGAGGAGGGGTGGGAGAAGGTAGGGAGAGGTAGGGAGAGGTGGGGAGAGGTGGAGGGAGGTGGAGAGAGGTGGAGAGAGGTGGAGGGAGGGAGTTAAAAACAGGCAAGCGAAGAGCTCTTAGCGAGTTAGAGAGGTCGCGACCGAGTCGAGAGAGGAGCAGAGGCATGTCCAGGAAGCGCTGCAGGGTGGTGACGAGGGGTGGGAAGTGGTGGGGAGAGGAGGGGAGAGTGAGTTAGTAACAGGCATGAGGAGAGCTCTTAGCAGGTCGGAGAGGTTACCAGAAACGAGGCAGGAAGCTGTGAGATACAGACTCACCACCATGCTACACACCTGTAACAGCGGGTGTAACACCACCAGGAGTATCCTACATGCCACAGTGACACAGGCACCCCTCCCAAGAGCCGGTTGTAGCGAGCCACCTCCCTCAGCAAACTCACATTACATGCTTGTCACACACATGTGACGGCAACGCTAGCTACCACAGCACTGCTGCCTGCCACACCCCTACCTGCCACAGCGACACTGGCACCCCTCCAAAGAGCCGGTTGTAGCGCGCCACCTCCCTCAGGAGCTCAAGAGAATGCTCCGGAGAGAGAGGCTGGGCGCCGTCAGAAAGACGGTCAGGGTCTGATGGCTCAGGAGCAGCAGTGCGGCCTGTTGATGGTACAACGTTCGGATTCCCTGCTTCCGCTGCTGCTGATTCCGGTGGGCGGTGGTACTGCTGCTGCTCCTCCTCCTCCTCCTCCTCCACCTGCTGCTGCTGCTGCTGCTGCTGCTGAGAAGCTTCAGAACTGGAGGAGGGAGAAGGCCTAAGCGACTCTCTCTGCTGAGTCTCCACGGGTTTAGAAGAAACTGCTCCTTGCGATTCCGTTCGCTGCTCCAAAGAGGGTCTAGCTCGATCAGGTGTAGAAAGGGTACAAGTCGCCCTTTGCTGGTCATCCAAAGCAGGTGCGGGTGGATCAGGGGAGGGCATTGGTTGTGTGGCTGGGTGGGCGGGCGGCGATGTTTGGACGGAGTGGGAGGGGAGGAGGAGAGTGATGGTGCGGCGACAGATGGGGCACTTGCAGGGGACGAGAGCCGAGCTGTGATGCCACACCCTCAGGATGCACTCCGCTGGGAGAGATGTGTATGTGCACACAAGGGGGAGATGGGTTCATATGAGGCCGACGGGGCACTTGCAGGGGACGAGCGCCGAGCTGTGATGCCACACCCTCAGGATGCACTCCGCTGTTGGTGACACATGGTACATGGGGAGGGGAGAAGACACGAGGCAATATGAGGCCGATAGGGCACTTGCAGGAGACGAGGGCGGAGCTGTGATGCCACACCCTCAAGATGCACTCCGCTGTGTAGGATGTATGTGACACATACATGTGGGGATATAGATATATGGGAGACAGAGGCATGGGGCACAGATGGAGCACTTGCAGGGGACCAAGGCGGAGCTGTGATGCCACACCCTCAGAATGCACTCCGCTGTTGGAGACGGGTACATTTCACACATGGGGGGGAAGAGATGTCAAGAGAGGACAGGTGGGCTGCGGAGGCCTTACTTCCATCAACTCGTGTTGTTTAGGATATGCGGGAGATGGGTTAGTATGAGGGAGATGGGGCACTTGCGGGGGATGAGCGCCGAGCTGTGATGCCACACCCTCAGGATGCACTCCGCTGGGGGGAGCATGGCAGATGGGGAGAAGATGGGGGGAAGATGGAGATGGGGGGGAAGGACAGAGGGAAGGACGGGGCCCATATGAGGGGCGGCCGAACAAGAAATGAGTACTTGCAGAGCTGTGATGCCACACCGTCAGGATGCACTCCGCTGGGTAAGATGAGACATGGGGAGCAAAAACGAGGGAATTGATATGTGAGCCCCAAGACCATCGCTGCCCTGATTGTTGAACAGAGTTGACCAGCGTTGACCAGAGTTGACTCACCACAGAACCAGTGGCCGCAGTTGGCTTGGGTGGGCAGGGCAAAGGCCTCGTGGCACACACAGCACATCTCGCCCTCTGGTGACCTTGATTCCAGATGTCTCAGATTTGACCAAAGTTGACCAGCGTTGACCAGAGTTGACTCACCACAGCACCAGTGGCCGCAGTTGGCCTGGGTGGGCAGGGCGAAGGCATCATGGCACACGCAGCACATCTCGCCCTCTGGTGGCCTGGGCTCCGACCCCCCTGCCATTTCTCCTGCTCCTGATCCTCCTGCTTCTTCTGCTCTCGCTGTTGTTGCTGCCCTTGCCGCTGCTGCTTCTCCTGCTCTTGCTGTTGTTGCTGCTCTTGCTGCTGCTGTGTCTGCTGCTGCTGCTGCTGCTGCTGCTGCTCCAATGCCTTCTTCCGGAACAACTCCACTTGCCGGACCAAATCCTCTTGCCAGACCAATTCCACTTGCCGAACCAAATCCACTTGCCGGACCAAATCCACTTGCCGGACCAACTCCTCCCGAACCAGTAGCACCAGCAGTAGCTGTGGCAGCAGCAGCAGTAGTACCAGAAGGGATCGCAGTTTCATCAAGGTTCTGGCTGCTGCTGATGCTTCTAATGGAGTGGAGTGGCGTGGAACGGAACAAGGAGAGGAGTGACACCCTGACGGGAGGAAAAGTGGGGAGGAGTGGGGAAGGAGGGTCGGTGGAGAGCCGAGGGGAAAAAAAGAGTTGGAGTAGGGCGAATAAGGAAAGGTGAAGGATTCTGCCGCTGTTACCACGAGGAAAGTCTCAGAAGACGGGTTGGAGATACACCGTACTGAAAACAGAATCTTCGTTGAAACTGGTTATAAAAAAAGGGGGTAGACGCGCCATTTGAACTCGTCAAACTCTGATGAGACCGTTCCAAAGAATATATATATATATATATATATATATATATATATATATATATATATTTATTTAACAAATATTGAGAGCAGCCTCTTCACGGGACCGGCAGAGCCGGGGTAAACATATAGAAAGGACAAACCTTAAGTGTGGAGAGTAACGCAGCAGCCAGAGCGGGATACTGAAGACCGCGATTAACGCGTACAGCACCTCGTCACCCACGCCATGCACCAGCGGCATCAGCGCAGCACGATGATAAGACTACCCTTCTACTATTCCGCCGTGGGCTGATCTAGGTACCTTAAACACGAGGAGGAGAACTGGGCCCTACTAATAGCCTCGCCGAAGGCCAGTAATCTCGAACGACGGATTGCGCTTGGAATAAGAACAAAACAAGAATGACCTAGATATGCCCGCAAACGAAAGGACAAGCTGGTCTGCTAGTACACGAAGATTATTCGACTAAGTTGAGCGTGGTTGTAACCGTCTACCACTTTTATTGTTAGTCATGAATCCGCTTCACCAAACTTTGCGCGTCCAGAAAAGGACAGCGAGGAGTGGCCACTACTGGGTAAGAAACGCTAGCCTTTCAAGGATTTTATTTTTTCTTCAGGCAATGCGACGATGCGGGGAAGCACTCTAAATGCACGTACAAGACGTCAGCCTCCGAATCTAGACTGCTCGCGTCGCGTGCAGACACCTCTAAAGCGTCACTAACTACCAGCCTCAGGGATTTAGGAATGCACAGAAATTTAGTGAGCCAGGGGGAACAGTCGAGCGCGCTCGTTTATGCTCGGTTTGGCGCATTCGAAACCGGTATTAGGGATGTTACCATGCAAATATACGTGTCTTGTATGTTCCATGGGTGCTAGTTTATTTCCCAGCGGTGCAAAACGGTACATCTCAAAACTCGTTTCCCACCATGTGGGAAGGGGATGTCCCACATCTTGATGGCGTTTTCCGTTTGCGATTGTGATGGGTGGGTGGGTGCAACTCTGTCTAGCCAGGGTGACCTTGCCGATTTCGAGTAACGCCGGCGAAACGAATCCCATTCGCGCACTCTCGCACTCAATTTTCTGGCAACGTCCAGGTTCGTGGTCCAATGGCACTCGCCGAATCTATCCTGGCCTGGAAAACCTGTTCCTCTCCCTGGCCACTGTTTTCCAGCTTGTTTCTGGAAAACCAGACGTTTACTTCACTCCACCACACACCACCTCACGGGGAAACTGACGCTGCGGTATTGCACTCCATTTCCCTGTTAGCTCCTTATTCAAGGGCCCTGTTCGGTAGCCCCCACAGTCACACTGCGGTTGGTGCAGGTGCTCTTCCTCGGCCCAATTTCGACTCACCTTAAAACCCACCGAGCCGTTATTAGAACACCATACCTGCCCAGTGCATATTGGCTACCGAACGCGTGAAAACCCCAGTCCGAGTGAAGTTGAGGACGCTACCACGAAAATGCTTGCTCAGGCAAGCTCGACCGCCAGTGAAAGTCAACCCCATTTCTGCTTTCCAGTTCCACTGAGGCAGGCCCGGTCTGAGTGGCACGCTGTAGGGTAAACGCTGCATTAAATTTGAATCGGGTCAAATTATGTTTTTCAGCTCGCTCGTTCAAATGATGAGAGATCGTGCCCGTTCGTGATTTTCTTTTATCCATATCGAGGGTGTTTCATTTGGCGGGCTGTTTTTTGTTTGTGAGTTGGGCAGCCTCGTACAGAAGTAAAAGTTTCGACCAGTAATTTCTCGAGAAACACACGGTAACTTCTCGCATTTGTGGACGAGACTTCCTTTCAGTGTGAGTGGACGCCCGAGGCTACGAAACATGTCGTAGGCTTCCCCAGTTCGAGTGGGCCCAGTGTGACTGGAAGGCTACCGAACAGGGCCGAGGTGTCTTGAAATATGGATGTCTCGGAATATACATTTTCGGTTTAGCATACTCTGACACCACGGACATAGAGCGTAGGTCGTCTCGCACACGTGGAGCTTCTTGTCGCAGAACCCAGAGCACTTGTCGCAGAACTGGAGCGCTTGTCGCAGGACATAGAGCGCTTGTCGCAGAAAGTAGACCGCTTGTCGCAGAACGTAGAGAGCTTGTCGCAAAACGTAGAGCTCTTGTCGCAGAGCGTAGAGCGCTTGTCGCAGAACGTAGAGCGCAGGCCAGAGGACATTGAGGCACAAACGAGATGTTTGCGAAAGGTGTAACCATTTGAGCTACCCGAAACCCTAGCCCGTTGCTCAATTCCAGACAATACGTCCTTACTGAACGCTTACATTACTTTCAGGCGTTACTTACGGCATTTTCAAGCAATATGTCCTAACTGAACGCTTTCGATGATTGCAGACAATGCGTCCTTACTGAACGCTAGCGGTATCTGCAGGGAATGCGTCCTTATTAAACGCGTTCCAGGCCTTTTAGTTCTTTAATAACGCTTGCGGTATTTTCTGTCGGAGACATTCACGGACCGACTTTCTTAATTTACGACCGGCTGAACCTGGCACTAATTCTGGGTACGTCCGTCCTTTTTTAGGTCCCTGGATATTCGTCTTATTTCTCGCTACTGAAAATGTCACCTGTAACGCACACAGCCAGTAACACACACAGCCTGCAAGACACACCGGCAGTACTGCGCACAGACAGTAACGCGCACAGTTAGCAATGCGCACAAACAGTAACGCACACAGACATTAACGCACACGGCCAGTGACGCACACAGCCAGTAACGTGCACAGCCAATAGCGCACACAGACTACAAGGCTCTCAGGAACATCAATACTAGATTAGTATCACGAGCTCTTTGGGCTAGAATTAAGAGTCGATTTCTTTAGGTACCTCAATATCATTGGTTTGAAGAAAGGAGGATGAATCAAGCAGCAGAGGGAGGAGGAGGGGGCGATGGAGGGGGAGGAGGGGGAGGGGAAAGAGGAGAGGGTGGTGGAGGAGGAAGTGGAGGAGGAGGAGGGGGTGGAGGAGACATCGTTGGTATGGTTACAAAGGCTGTAAATCTGGGGGCAATGGGAAAGGAGGATCTGATTCGCGTGCATGACCTAATCAGCAAGGCCTTGCAGGGCCACACTGGAGCAGCTGCGGCCTCTACAGGCGCCACAGCCGTTGACGGAGCGGTAGCAGCTACAGCTGCTGCAGCAGGTACAGCGGTTTCAGGTGCAGCAGCCGCTACAGGAACCAGAACAGGATCTGCGGCTTCTATAAGTGCTGCTGCTGCTGCTGCTGCTACAGGATCTGCAGCCACTACAGGAGCTGTAGCAGCTACAGCAGGCACAACTGTAACAGGTGCAGCAGCCGCTACAGGAACCAGAACAGGAACGGCAGCTCCTACACGTGCTGCAGTTGCTGCTGCTGCTACAGGAGCAGCAGGTACAACTGTTGCAGCAGCCGCGACAGGAACCAGAACAGGAACCGCAGCTCCTACACGTGCTGCTGCTACAGGATCTAGAGCTGCAACAGCAGGCACAGCTGTTACGGGTGCAGCAGCCGCTACAGGAACCAGAACAGGAACCGCAGCTTCTACACGTGCTGCTGCTGCTGCTGCTGCTGCTACAGGAGCTACAGCTGCAACAGCAGGCACAACTGTTACGGGTGCAGCAGCCGCTACAAGAACCAGAACAGGAATCACAGCTTCTACAAGTGCTGTTGCAGTTGCTGCTGCTGCCACAGGAGCTTCGGCTGTTGCAGCAGCTACAAATTCAACAGCAGCTAGAGTTGCAACCGGAGCTACAGGAGGTACAACTGCTAGAGCTCCAACGTTCTCAGGAACTTCAACTGCTGCAGCCGATGCAGGAGCTGCAGCTGCCACAGGTGCTATAACTGTTACAGGAGCTACAGCTGCCACAGGTGCTATAACTGTTACAGGAGCTACAGCTGCTGCAGGAACTACAGGAACTTCAATTGCCACAACCGGTGCAGGAGCTACAGTTGCTACAGGAGCTACAGCTGTTACAGGAGCTACAGCTGTTACAGGAGCTACAACTGCTACAGCCGTTACTGGAGCTGCAGCTGCTACAGGAGCCATAACTGTCATAGAAACTACAGCATCACCCCTCACTCTCCCCCGTTTCCCGGCTTCTTTCCCGTCCTCTCACCCTCTGACTGTCGTGACAACTGCCCGCCCCTCATCGGTCCCATCCAACATCCCCCCACGCACCGTTCTAGTGCCTATCACTCGTGTGTCCGCACCTTTCACTTTTCCTGCACGCTCTCGCGCTGCCCCTTCTCGTGCCACCCCTACGCCCGCCGCCCCTTCTCCTGCCGCCCCTTCGCCCGCCGCCCCTTCTCCTGCCGCCCCTTCGCCCGCCGCCCCTTCTCGTGCCGCCCCTTCTCCCGCTGCCCCTTCTCGTGCCACCCCTACACCTGCTGCCCCTTCTGCCACCGCCCGTTCTCCTGCCGTCCAAGCCTCCTGTGGTCAACCCACCCACCAAGCCACATCGGCAGGTTCGGCCCTCCAAACGCCTTCTCAACCGATTTTGACCAGCCTAGAAATCCCCACGCCTTCTGTCAATGCATGGCCCTCCTCACACCCCTTGCAACCCTCACACCCCGCACACCCTGCACAATCCTTGCAGCCCTCACAGCCGTTGCAGCCTGTGCCTTGTATTGATAGCCGCCCCTCCTCACACCCCTCACAGCCCCCCGAGCTGCCTTCTCCGCGACAAGACTTGCCTGTCTCTCCTTCTCAGTCCAACACCCACTCTTACGAGATCACCCCCCCTCATCCCAGCCCCCCTCATCCCGCTCTCCCTCAACCCACACCCCCTCGCATCACCCCTACCTCCCCCACGCCCCTTAACTCAAACCCCACATTCCCCAACCCCCCTCGCCCCAACCCACCTCGCATCGGCTCCCCCCGTCGCCTGGCCTGCGACAGCCCAACCCCCTGGCCCTCCACCAAGCGCTATTTCGGCGTCACCTGGTACCGCAACGCGTGGCAGGTGTTTCTCACGGCAACCAAGGCGGAGCAGCAGCAGTTTGGCGTGAGCACGCAGTGGTACTGCGGCCGCTGGCCTAAGAATCAGGTGGAGGACGCAGCAGCAGCCGCGGAAGCAGCGCATTTTGTGCTCAAAGGGGGGGGAGCGGGTGGGGGGGCGGGAGCAGGAGGAGGAGCAGAAACGGGAGGGGAAGCAGGGAGGGGGGGGAAGAGCGGGACGGAGCGAGTGTATTACTTTCTTTCGGGAAGAGATAAAGAGCGGTTGATAGAGATGGGGAAAGCGAAAGCAGCAGAGCTGATAAAGAAGAAGCGGTGGGTGATATGGCAGCAGTGGCGTACCTGGTGGGGCGAGGAGCAGGAATTGCACGCAACTGCTACCGCTGCTGCAGGGTTATCCCTAGGTTCAGCGTCCAAGTCTGTCCGTGAGGCAAATGCGGCTGGTATCCCTGTTAAAGCCCTCGCTCTCGCCTCCCGGTTCCGTGTTTCTTCACCTGGCCGTGCTTCTCGGGCTGCTTCACGCCGCCCTGCCCGGGCAGCCGACGGGGACGTTGACTGTGTTTCTCCCTCCCACCTTCTCGCTCTCTGCACCTCTTTCGCCACCGCGAATAACGAGGAGGTGGAAGAGTTGCTTGCTCTCTTGAATCCTCCCCCTCGCTCCAGACGTCGTCGCGGTCGCCCCACTACTCGCTCCACTCCCCGCACTCGCAACACTTCTCGCGCTCGCTCCACCCCTCTCGCGCCCTCTGCTCCTGCCACGCCTGAGCCCGCTCAGAGGGCTGTGTCGGTTGCTCCTGGTCCCACTGGTGTTCAGTCACATGAGCAGCAGCAGCAGCAGCAGCAGGAGCAGCAGGGTGGTGAGGAGGAGCGGCAACAGCAACCGGAGGAGGAGGAGTATCAAGTCCCGCAGAAGTATTATGGCGTGTCGTTCCGATACAACAAGTGGGAGATCCGCCTCTACATGTCACCTGCACTCAAGAAGCGGTACGGCTTGGGGGACCAGCTGTACTGCGCACGGTGGGATAGAGAGCAAGGGGAGGAGGCGGCAGCTGCAGCGGAGGCGATTCATTTCGTGCTGGGGAGAAAGAAGAAGAGGGCGTATGAGTATATAACGGAGGAGGAGAGAGAGCGGTTGAGAGAGATGGGGATGGATCGGGCGATGAAGTTGATCATGCAGGGGAAGTGGAAGACATGGCGGGAGTGGCGGCCGGGGCAGGAGGGGGAGGAGATGGAAGAGGAGGGGGGGGAGGGGGGAGGAGGAAGGGGAGGAGGAGGTGGAGGAGTAGAAGAGGTGGGTGGTGAGGGGATGGAGATGGGAGAGTCGGGAGGTGGGGACGGTGGAGTGGGGGGAGTGGGTGGGGTAGGAGGTTTTTCGAGGCCGAAGAGGAAAAGAGCTCCACGGAGGGTTGTGAGGGAGAGGAGGGATGATGCTGAATCAGGGGGGGAGTGTGGTGAGGGGGAGTGTGGTGAGGGGGAGATGGGGAGTGCGAGGGGAGGAGGGAGTGGAGGGAGAGGAGGGAGGGGAGGGAGAGGAGGCGGGGCAGGGAGAGGACGGGGAAGAGGAAGAGGAGGAGTGGTGGGAGGAGGGGGGGCGCAAATGGCTGGCAGCACTGCTGTGCCCGGGGGTGAGGAGGGGATGGTGTTTGAAATGGGTGAGGAGAGATGGAGTGCGAGGGGGTTCACATGGGAAGAGGGGCACGGTGGGGGGGGCAGGGGGGGAGGTGCGAGGGGCGGAGGAGGAGGAGGGTGGGAGGAGGAAGGGGAGATGGATGAAGATACAGAGGAGGGGGAGGTCGAGGGCGAGGAGGGTGGGGATGGGTGGGAGGAGGGAGCGTGGGATGAGGAGGTGTGGGAGGAGGAGCTGTATAATGCGTACCGCTTGAGAGAGATGCTCGGAGGGCTTATGTGATGAGTGATGAGCATAATTGTGTGATGAGTCGATGTGGTAGTGGGTATCATGCGCTTTCGGGGTCTGTTTTTGAGGCGCCAAGTAGTGGGGGTGGGGGGTATCATGCGCACACATGAGGGGAGGAAGCAACGAGTCATCTTATTATGCACCTGATAGGAGAGGAATGGATGGGATGTGGACGAATGGAGGGGTACTACTCGTACCACATGAGACTAGTGGTTGTAGGGCTGATTTGTAAGTCGCGGGCAGTGAGACAGGAGGAGGAGGAGGAGGAGGAGGAGGAGGAGGAGGAGGAGGAGGAGGAGGAGGAGGAGGAGGAGGAGGAGGAGGAGGAGGAGGAGGAGGAGGAGGAGGAGGAGGAGGAGGAGGAGGAGGAGGAGGAGGAGGAGGAGGAGGAGGAGGAGGAGGAGGAGGAGGAGGAGGAGGAGGAGGAGGAGGAGGAGGAGGAGGAGGAGGAGGAGGAGGAGGAGGAGGAGGAGGAGGAGGAGGAGGAGGAGGAGGAGGAGGAGGAGGAGGAGGAGGAGGAGGAGGAGGAGGAGGAGGAGGAGGAGGAGGAGGAGGAGGAGGGGGAGAGGCTGGGAGGAGGATGGGAGGACGACGGAGGTGATTGGGGGGAGAAAGAGATGGTGGACAAAACAGGGTCGGAGGAGGAGGGATATGATGAAGAGGGGAGAGTGGATGGATGGGAGGCGGAAATGGAATGGGAAGCTGGTCGATTCGAGGGAGAATGTGCAGGAGAAGAAAATAATACATTTTCAGACAGCCGTGGGGGGGCGATTCTAGTGAGATGGCACCATGGGCGTCCTTTTAGGCCAGGAAAATCTGGCTTCTGAGTCTTCTCTAAAGAGGCTGCCTATAGTGGAGATATAAACAGCCTCTTGCTAGGTCAGGAAAATCTCACTATTGAGACAACACAGGCGTTCCATTGAGAAAGTGCACACAGGGGACGAATGGGCGAGGAATGTTAAAAGGTTGACTCAAGTTTGTGTGGGAGAGGAGAGGAGAGGAGAGAGTGAAGGTGCCAGGGGCAGGAGAGGGTGACGAGAGAGGGTGGGGGGTAGGATAAAAGGGAGTAATTTATAGAGGGAAGGAGGAGAGCGAGAAGGGTGGGTGGCTGGGCTGGGGAGGGGAGGAAGCAAGGCATAGAGATGAGGACCGAATCGGCTCATGCTCATGGATAGTGGTAACGAGAACTGCTTGCTTACTAGTTTGGTGACGTGACGTTAGTCGTGTCGTGTTGCTACATGCTCACATATTTGCTCTAGGAGGTCTTTGATCTTTCTTACTGCAGGGTGGGGCTCTCTTCGCCACTAGACATGGCATTAACGCTACCTTGAGTCAAACTATAATGCTACTTATGTTGTGTAGGCTATAATGGAGTAGCCTATATGGGATACAACCTAAATAGGGTTATACTTGTACTCAGTTTGATGTCAATGCAATCATTCCTGCTCGTTAGTTTTTGACATGGTTTCAGAGCAGTAGGTCCGTAGGACCGTTTTTTTTTTTTTTTTTTTTTTTTGGCCCACCATTACCTAGTGACCGACTGCGGTTACCGCGTTACCCTACGCCCTACCCTGCGCTGCGCCTATAGCGCGCGCCCTGCCCTGCCCTGCCTTGCATCGCGCTGCCCAGCGCACGCCCTGCCCTGCCTTGCGTCGCGCTACCCCGCGCACGCTCTGCCCTGCAACGCATCCTGCTGCAGCTCGCGCCCTGCTGCCCTGCGCGTCGTGCCCTGCTGCAGCGCGCACGTCGCGCCCTGCTGCCTTGCGCGTCGCGCCCTATGTCTGCCCCGCGCGTCACGACCTGTTGCAGCCAGCCCGTCGCGCCCTACTGCCCCGCACGTCGCGCCCTGCTGCAGCCCGCGCGCCGCGCCCTGCTGCCCACGCGTTGCGCTCTGCTGCCCTGCACAGCACGCACCCTGCTGCCCGCGCCGCCTTGACCGAGTCGCGCCGCCCAGCCCGAGCCGCCCTACCCAACCCGATCCACCCTGCTGCTGCTGGTGGTGGAGGTACTGCTAGGAGTGCTGGAGGTGCTGCAGCCTAGCCTCACCGAGCCGCTATGCTGCTATTACTGCCGTTTCTGCTGCTCGTGCTACTGCCTTCCCTCCGTACTGCCCTACCGGTCGCATGCCTCCTTACTTGGCCCGCTATGACTTCTCTTCGTGGTAGCGATCGGAGCGGTGACGGCGGTGGTGACAGCAGCAGGAGTGGTGGCGGCGCCCGTCATGGCAGTCGCGGTGGAGCTGTTCGGTGCGGAGTTTCTGGCGGTGGCCAGATGCAGCTGCAGCGGCGTCTGCGCGAGACCCTTACGCCCCAGCAGCTTTGTGAGTGGTACGCTCAGAGTGGGGGGACTTGGAGTACTGTCCGCTGTCCGTACGTCATTCGCACAGGTGATCGGGCTGGTCAGACTTGCGGGACACTTGGTCATACACAGGCTCGCTGCTTCGCCTGTCTGAGCGACGCCTGGCGTGCAGTGTTCGGCAACGAGGGTGAGCTCCCCCACTGGCTAGAGCTGCTCAGGAACAAGGTGGATATCTTTGCTCTAGACTATGACAATATCCTCACTGCCATGTTAGTACTCAGGGTGAATGTTACCTATGTGTGCCGCCCGACCCTAGTATAGCGGCTTCTGCTTAAGGTGCTGGTGAGTCTGCTCTAGGTGCTGGTGAGTCTGCTCTAGGTGCTGGTGAGTATGCTCTCTCTCTGGTACTGCACTTGCTGAGGCCTTCCACACCTTCACGCTTGACTCAGGTGCTTCCTATTGCTTCTTTCGCTACAGCACCACAATCACACTACTCTCTGCACCGGTTGCACTCTCTCTAGCTGATCCCTCTGGGGGACCGGTTCTTGCACGTTCCTCCACTATTCTCCTGTGTCTGGCGGTTCCGTCTGGCTCACTGTCAGGTCTTCATCTCCCCTCGTTCTCTACGAACTTGGTGAGCAACGCCGTCCTTTAGGATACATTTACTCGTGGGGGACAGCGTGTCGCGATCTGCACGTGTGCACGGACGAGCTGTCACCTGGCCACGTTCACCCGTCGGCCTGGGTCGAGTCTGTACACACTGACTACTGTGCCTCCTCAGGTAGCTGCGTCTGCGTCCGCGTCAGGTCAGCTAGCAGCCTCCTGCTCGTGTCGCGCCCTGTCGCACCAGACTCTCCTTTGGCACCACCGCCTTGGTCACCGTTCTCTGCCACGCGTCCGTGGCATGCGCTCTCGCCTTCTTGTCTCTGATCTTCCCAGGTCTCTGCCTCCCCTCCCACCCTCGTCTGCCCCTCCCTGCCTTCCTTGTTTCGAGGGGCGGCAGCGCGCCGCTCCTCACTCCTCCTCGTTTCCCCTGACGCCTGCTCCCCTGCAGACTCTCCACTTGGACATGTGGGGCCCAGCCCGCATCCAGGGACAGGGCCGCGAGCGATAATTTTTGCTGGTTGTTGATGACTACTCGCGTTACACCACGGTCTTCCCCTTGCACAGCAAGGGGAAGATCCCTGATGTTTTGATCCCTTGGATCTGCACTGTCCGTCTCCAGCTTCGCGAGCGGTTAAACACGGACCTTCCTGTCCTGCTTCTGCACTCTGACAGAGGTGGTGAGTTTTACTCCGACCTCTTGCGGGACTTTTGTCATGGGGAGGGCATCACCCAGTCGTTCACGCTTCCGGCCTCTTCACAACAGAATGAGGTTGCTGAGCGCCGTATTGGCCTAGTCATGGAAGTCGCTCGTACCTCCATGATCCATGCGGCTGCCCCCCCATTTTCTATGGCCGTTTGCGGTCCGGTACACTGCGCATCAGCTCAACCTCTGGCCCGTGTCTCCTTGCCGGAGACTTCGCCGACACTGCGTTGGACGGGAGAGGTTGGCGATGCGTTAATGTTCCGGGTCTAGGGATCTCATGCCTTTGTTCGCAATACCTCCACAGATAAGTTCTTTGGTTGCGTCGTTCCTTGTGTCTTCCTTGGTTTTCCCACTGACGCGTCTGGCTGGCAGTTTTACCACCCCACCTCGCGCCGTGTTCTGTCCTCTCAGGTAGTCACGTTTGACGAGTCGGTTCCCTTTTACCGTCTCTTCCCCTTCCGCACTGCCCCTTCCCCTCCTCGCAGCTCTTCATTGCTCCAGGTTCCCCTCCGGTAGACCCCCTCCTCCCTCAGGGTCCTGCTCCTTCAGGTGTGTCTCAGGTAGACCCACTCCCCTTGTTTGAGCCTGTCGAGGTCACTGGTGACTCTGGTGCTGCTGGGGGTGCTAAGCCTGCGGGTGCTGAGCCTGGGTGTAAGGAGCCTAGGGGTGCTGAGCCTGTGCGCGAGGAGCCTGGGGGTGCTGAGCCTGCGGTTGTGGAGCCTGAGTGTGAGGAGCCTAGAGGTGGTGAGCCTGCGAGTGCGGAGCCCGGGGGTGTTGCGTCTGAGCGTGCGGAGCCTGGGGGTGCTGAGCCTGAGCGTGCGGAGCCTGGGGGTGCTGAGTCTGAGGGTGCTGAGCCTAGGGGTCCTGCGTCTACACTACGGGAGCCTCTCTCACCACAGCAGTTGCGCGAGTGGTACGCTCAGCGCTGTAGCCTTCGTCCTTAGACGAGGTCTACGAAGATTAAGGACCTAAATTTCTCAAAATCGTTGGCATAGAATTCTGGACAGAAAGGTCGTCGTCACAAGAAACTTCGTCGACAAAACACGCACTATTGAAACTTCACCAATTTCCCATATGTTGTAGCCCTAAACCGTAGCTACACTTCCCAAGTTGAATCGTATTAAGAGGTGAAGTAAATATTGAGTTATCGATTTCGGCGCACTAGGGGGTATGTTGCCAAAGGAACTTAACTCAATCACAAAGTTCTCACAATTTTCACACAAGGAAGTTAGAGTAGCTAGAAACCAAATAGGAGGAAAGAGAAGGACGAGAGGGAAGGTCCCCAAGGATTCCCCAACCAAGGAAACCCCATAAGCACATCAAATCCCCTCCTATAGCAGCCCCATTTTTACTTTTGTCACTTTCCCAACCTCCACAATCCACCTCACCCAAGTTGGCCACACTTGCCCACCCAATTTGGTTTCTCCCAACCACTTGGCAGCATCTACAGTGATGGGGACGAATTTCCCAACCCTCAAAAGTCTGTATCCCGTATTGAGTCACTTCACAACTTCCCAAAGTCATCGCATCACAAACAAATCTTTGAACGATCATAACTTCCTCGTTCTTGCTCCGATCGCAACGATTCTTGGTTCGTCAGAAAGCTCTTAAGCAGGGGAGTCACTTCAGATATCTGCTCCGGCCAAATAAGATTCACATAAACTCAGAAAGTCCAAACCACAGAAAACACAAATTCTTGCACACGCTCACACCATGCATGCAACGCACGAACATATAATGGGAGGCAGACAAACGTGAATGCAAATGATAGCATGACATAACAGTGCTAGAGGTAGTGGAGTTTCTGGAGCTCCAAGAGCTGGTGGTGGTGCTGGAGCTGCTAGTCCCGGAGGTGCTCGTACTGGAGGTACTAGAGCTGCTGGAGCTGGTGGTGGTGGTGGTGCTGCTGGAGGTGCTGGAGCTGCTGGTCCCGGGGGTGCTCGTACTGGAGGTACTGGAGCTGCTGAAGCTGGTGGTGGTGGTGCTGCTGCTGGAGGTGCTGCAGCTGCTGGTCCTGGGGGTGCTCGTACTAGAGGTACTGGAGCTGCCGGAGGTGGTGGTACTGTCGGTACTGGTGGTGCTGGTGGAGCTGGCACTCCTAGACCTGGAGGTGCTCGTCCTGGAGGTTCTGCAGGTGCTCTCTCGCCGCAGCAACTATGCGAGTGGTGCACTCAGCACTTCCACCTTTGAAGTGGCGCTGTTGGGGCTGGAGGTGCTGCGGCTGGAGGCGCGGGAGCTGGAGGTATTGGCGCGGCCGGAGCTGGTGGTGCTGCGGACTATGGAGCTGGAGGCCCTGGAGCTGTAGACCCTGGAGCTGGTGACCCGGGAGCTTGAGGTGCTGGAGCTGGAGTTTCTCGAGTTACTGGAGACCTTGGAGCTGCTGGTACTAGTACTGGAGGTGCTGGTGCTGGAGGAGCTGGTACTGGTGGTGCTGCACCGCCGCGTCTGTTCTTTGCTCCGCCGTCACCGCCGTCTATGCCGTCGCCAGTCTCAGTGCTTCGCCAGGTTCTTAGTCTCTCGTCTTCTATTGGTCTCCCGTTACAGCCAGGCTCCCCATTGCCTGCTCCCTCTCCTTACACTACGAAGACAGGAGGTCCTACTGAGCGCCGTGAGCCTGCGTCTCGTCGTGCCTCGCCTGTTTGCGCTGGTCATACTAATCGTCGTGTTCTTCGTAAGCGTCCTCCTCCTGTCCCCGGCACGC